AGTCACGTCGGCGTCAAAGGAGCGACGTGCGACCTGTCAGAGCTTGATCTCCGATCGCAGCTGCCTCTGCGCGTCCTGGGGAGGCACCAAATGTCGCCGCCGGAGACGACTCGACGCCGCTGAGATCGGAGATCAAGCTCTGACAGGTCGCACGTCGCTCCTTTGACGCCGACGTGACTCACCCGTGCAGACCACATCAGGACAGGGTCTCGACACGCTCGGTACGACGCCTGCGACCCGTCTTGGGTCAGGTGGCACGACGCTCATCGCGCCTGCCAGCGCTGCCGTGCAGGTTGCCACGACGAGGTCGAGAACGCTTCTATACGCTCGCCGAGCCTTCCTTTCCATCCCATAAGGTAGCCTGGGAACGGTGGCGGTCAGAGGCAAAGCCTACGAGGGGCGGTGGAACCACATGTCACGGCTACTGCCGGCTCCACCCCACGATAGCCTCCGAAGGCTGACTTTGCGGCACCATCATCGGACGATGTCGACGAGTTTGGTCGCTCTCGCGGTAGCCAGATGACCTCTCTTCCTAGGATCATCGGCCATGGCCGCAGGGAGCGCGGGGGAGGGCGCTGGGAGCAACACGGAGCTCCGTTGGACGTTTTCAAGATTAGCGTGTCAGAGTGAATTGGAACTAGCCAAAGGTGGTTCCTGAGAAAATCTGCTACAGGCCTCGTCAGGTTTTTGCTCATGGTGCATTTACTCACACCACCGCAGTACAATTGATTGAGTCCGGGTTTTTTATGCGTATGATTGTAAGGGCGTAGGGACCCGCCCCAGGACAGGCTCTGTCGTTCTGATGGAATGCTCTGGTGCCGAGGAGAGCCGCTGGCAAGAGGTAGATGTGAAGCCACGACGGGTCGGTACAGCAGGCCGACCAGAGAGTGCAGAGTGAGCACTGCCCCTCTCCAAGATCGACTCCTGAGGAGAAGCCCGCCTTGGACCATCAAGGGGAGGCCAGGTACACTTGACCCGCGCAAAGAGCTAGATGCAGCCGTCGTCATTCTACGGCCTCAGAGCGTATGCCTTGCCGCCGGACGGTGGCGGTCGTGTCGGTGGTTGGGCCGTTTTGCACGACGGCTGTGGCGGCGCTCTGGAGGGGAGGGCGGCCACTTTCGGGTGGTGGATGACCGGCCTTTGAGGTCTTGCAACCCTAGCTGTGACAGCTTTGGACAGCTCGCGTAACCCTAGGAACAGCGGGCCGGCTAGGGTTGAGGCCACACAGCCCGGGACATGACAAGGGTGGTGGAGGTCCGAAATCACGCCGCTATGCCTCGGCTCCAGCGAGGTCTCTCAGGCCCTAGCTCAGGTATATGCAGTAGCCGGAAGCAGGGAACACTCACCCCCCAGCACCAGTCTTCTAGGTGGAGGCGGGCCCGCTGGTATCGTCGGGAAGGTCGAGGAGGGTGGGTGGATGAGCGAGAACTGGTCGCTCGCTGGTCCTCTCGGCTCAGCCACGCGTCGGACCAGCTCGCACGAGCTCCAGGCAGCCACCGGTCGCCACGTGCAAAGCGTACGGGTCGCCGGCTCCCCGTTTTGCTCTCACGCTGGCCGGCGTAAAACTGTGCTGACAGTTATCAAGCCGTACCCGTCGCGTTTCGAAAGGGAGCCCTCAATCGACCCCTCTACACGCACCGCCCCATCGCTCTCCACAACCGCTACCGTGGACATCAAGCTCCTCGACTCGATCTGCGGCTACGACGGCGCTCTAGCTGCTGGCTCTCGCGGGTGTCCGGCGACCCGCTCAGGCTTGCGAAACGGCCGGCAGCGGCGACGTGTTTCGAGCTCGCTGGCCGTCTCCGCCCAAGGCGCCGCCGCGACCGCGGAGCCGGCGGCGGTCGGCGGGTCGACGGACCGACCCTCCGCCACGCTTGCGAGGGCCGTCGCCGCGCCCTCCCCGCCCGTGTCGTGGCGCACGCCGCCACCGCCGCCAGCCACGCCGGCCGGGGGCGGCGGCGGCGGCGGCGGCGGCGGTGCGGCGGCGGCGGGAGGAGCAGGCCGCGGCATGTCCCCTCCGGAGAAGGAGAACCTCTTTGCCGGCGACGACAAGCCGCAGCAGACCCCTCCCTCGCCGCGCCGCCGCGCGCCGCTCAGCGCGCCGCACGAGGCGGAGGCGCCAAACTCGCCGCAGCCGCGCGCGCCGCTGGCTATGATGTATCTTATTCCGGGGCCGGTGTGCGGGGAGCGGACCTTAACGACTGCCCAGAAGCTTTCTGTGCGAACCATAAGGCCCTAAACCATCAGCACATGTCCCCTGCAAAACATCATAGGCGTTTGAGCCGTATTGGAGGAGCATCAGCCCTCTCTAGATCGGCCGTTGGTCTCTGCAGACCCCCCCCCCCGGAGCAGCAGAGGCTCCGTGCCGTCACAAAACCGACCCTGAGAGTCGCCCGTGGCAAACCTCCGCACCACCACGCGGTCCACACGTACCGTGGGCATCCCGGCTACAGCCGACAAGCCGCGAGATGGCCGTCAGACCGAGTGAGGACCGATGAGGACCGATCCGGAGCGCCGTTCGGAGGCGTGCGGAGGGGCAAAATGCGTGGTTTTGGGTACGTAGCATGCCCGTAGAAGATACAACACGAGCAAATTAGGCGCCAAAGTACTCGCCCGACATGCCACTACTACTCCATGCCCGTATAGTCGATACTCTGGCGCGCCCGCATCCCCGGTCGCCCCCCCCCGCCATCACACGACCGCTGCTTGCTGCGCGGCGGCTTCTCAACCGAGGCTGGCGATGGGGCGGTCGAGCGTACGGCCGGCCGGCGCGCGGGGCTCCCAGCGCTCGTCTCGGCAGGCGTGGCGCCCCGCACCTCCGCCTCAAAGGCGATGCGCTGCGTGGCGAAGGGGTCGCTGCCGAGAGCCGCCCTGCCATTGACGCGCCGCTCGTGGGCAGCAGCCATGTCGCCGCGTGCCTCGCGCAGGTTCATCAGCTCCCACGACGTGGCGCGCCCTTGTCGAAGCTCAGTCGCGCTCTTCATGCCGCCCTCGATCGCGTCCATCGCCTTGCCCCGCGCGTCGGTCCGTGCGATCAGCTGCTCGGCCCGCATCACCTGCTGCTTAGCGGATCGGTCGGGATGCTCGAGCGGCTTGATGATGAAGTCGCCGTCCGTCTCGTCGTCCGAGTCGGGCTCGCACTGCCTCGACTTGTAGCCTGTGCGGACGAGGCGGCGCTCGGCGCGCTCCGGCTCGCGCGCCACGGAGAGGTACGTCTCCGCCTCTTTGAGGTCCTCCCCCTGCTGCGCGACTGTGTGGTGAGTGTAGTGAGAGAAGGTCTCCTCGATCTTCTGGTTGCCGATCGAGGCGCCAAACGCGTAGGCCTGGAAGAACGAGTGGAGCGCAGGGAGGTCGGCAGGGTCCTCCCAGTTGATCTTCCGCTTCTCGTCGCAGAGCTTCGCCCAGTCGGCCTTCTTTGCCGCGTTGTCGCCGAGCCCGAGCGCGTGGAACGCGATCTTGATCTCGGCCTGGTGCTGCTTGACGTGGTCCTCGAGGATGTGCGCCTGTGCGGTCCGGCCGACGGAAATGAGTGATTGAGCTGGCGGGGGGGAGGCTTAGGGGTCGAGTCTCGAGCTGTGGGGCGGGGGGTGGAGGGCGGGAGCGCGGGGGGGCGGCCTCTCACCTCCTCTTTCGAGTCCTCGTCCTCAAACGTCGACGCGTCAGCCGCGGGGCAGCTCTGCATGGGCAGGCACATCTTGACGATCAGCCGGGCGAAGTAGGGGCCGAGCCAGTCGCGCGGGCTGCGGTTCTCCTCCTCCTCGCGCTGCTCGTGCTGCTGCGCCTCGTCGGTCACCAGGAAGAAGATCCAAGGCGGGCGCAAGTACTTGCACCAGTGCTTCTCGCACACCGCCCGCGCCTGGTCGCCAAAGACTGGGAGCCGCGCGAGCAGCACCTGCTTCACCGCGGGGAGCACCTCGAAGCCCCACGCAGGCGCCAGCCGGTGCGGGTCAACCGTGCGGCCGCCGTTGTTGACGAGGCCAATCGGGCCGCACGCCTCGCTGAAGATGTCGCGGCACTTCTTCTCAACCGCGCCGCTCTTCTAGGCTCAGAGCCGGAGGGTGGCTGGCTCATGTAGGACTGTAAAGGATCAAAACACTGCTTCACGCGAACGCTCGCAAGGGACGTAGGACCGTGACAAGATTGAGCACAAGGAAGTGCATGGCGTTCGAGTGAACGCCGTGCAGGCAGCCCGTGCCTTTTGGTGTACCCCGTTTGTGCCGCGTCCTGTGCCCCCGAGTTCATTTTATAAAACAAGGAAGCTCGAGTATTGACATTGGGGGCACGGCGCGGGATGCGCCGTGCTAGTACACTGTGTGTAGTGTGTAGTGTGTGGAGGGTGGCACAGGCGTCCGAATTCAGACGGAGACCTCGAGAGAGTAGTGCCGAAGGCGCTCTTTTTGAACGAGAAAACTGCACCCTAGAAAGCCGTACCCCCCAATTCCCCCGACGGCGTTTGCCTGACTGACATCACACCAGGCAAGCCATGGCACTTTCCTCGTCCGCTCGCGCTTGCCGCGCCGCATTGCGCCCAACTATGCCGCCGCGAGCTGCACACCTAGACCCCCGCGACGCCTTTGCTCACGGGTCCCGCCGCCCCCTCACCACCCCCACCACGCGATGCGCCTTCGCTCGTCGCGCGAGCTGCTGTACCCCCCTCGCGGGCCTCGCACCGCCTGCCTACTCCCGCTCGCAGGTACCGAGGAAGCCGCGAGACGCGTCCGCTGCTGCCCACTCCCCACCCTTGTCCCGCGCGACCGCCTCCCTCTCTTCTGGCAAGAGAGCGACCCGCTCTCGCTCGCTGGCCAATCGCCGCCCGGCTCCAGTCCGAGCGCCGAGGACGCGAGAGAGCGTGCCGGCGGCCTCGTCTCGACGCTCACGCCGCGACGTGCTGCCCGTAGGCGCGGCTCTCCTCCCTCCGGCTCGCTCTCTCATCTCATTCAGCATGCACATGCCCCTTTGAGCAGCACCATTTTTGTGCAGCTGTACTGATTTCTTTTTATCTGTGTAGGCGAGGCTCGAGGGCATGGGGGGGGTAGGCGGGGGGTAGGCGGGGCTGCGTGGGTGGCGGGCGGGCTCGAGATCGCGCGACTGATCGATCCGTGGGGAGATTCCCAGAGATTTTATCATACCCGTATACCCCCTATACCCCTTATACCCCCATATACCCCCATATACCCCAGAAACTCCCCAGACATCTCAATACCAGTTTTTTACCGTCTTTCACATGGTCGCGATCCCGTAGGCGCTAGGCGCTTGCCTTTCCTGCTACGAGCCGAGATTGACCTGAGATTGCCCCCGCCGAGCAGAGTTCCCGCCTGCTCGCATCTCTGCACTGCGTCTAGAGAGTGCCACTCTGTGTCCGCAGCCGCGAGGGCCACTCGAGCGCTGGCCTGCACCTCCCATCGGGGACGCCACCTTCAACCGCTTCTGGATCTGCAGGAATTCATTCGACCAACATGCTCAAACTCGAGTTCGTGCCGGCCGCCGGTGACAAGCTCGTGCTCAAGCTCTCTCCTCTGCCGCCGCTTGCTGACAAGCAGGTGTGCGTTAATTTGCAGTGTCTGAGGGAGGGGATATGCACACGCGCACCGCTGCAACGCACGCGACGCTGCGCCTTCGCTGCAAGACTATCCTCTCGCGTTCTGTGGCTGACAGGCGTCTCTGGCGGACAACACGACCGTCATCGACTCTGGCGGAGGCAACGCCGTCGGCATCCCCTCCGAGCCCGTCTCGCTCAAGGATGGCATCGATACCGGCACCGGCGGCACCGGCACCGCCAGCACCGGCACCGGCAACGTCCCGCCCGAGGGCGAGCCCGGCCCGCTCAAGGACGGCATTGACGCGGGCGGCGGCAACGTCGCGGGCGAGTTGTCGCCGATGAAGTCCTTTGCGAAGGTCGGAATCGTGCCGGCTGACGACGGCCGCATCACGCTCGTCATCTCCGCGTCGGTGTCGCCTTCGCTCCTCGGAGCCAAGGTGCGCGTGCGCACGCCAGGATCGTGATCATCCCTCTCCCGTCTCCGAAAGCTTGCGCGTACTCTCCCTCGCCCACAGGCGTGCGGCGTCAAGAACGTCAACATCTCCGTGGCAAAGTCTGGCCCGGAGGGCGTCCTCAAGAAGGACTCGGCCGCGGAAAAGGCGCCCGACGCGGGCGCGGTCGACTCGGACAAGGCCAAGGCCATGTTTGCCGCCCACGCGCCGAGCCCCGCTGTTTTCTGGTCCAAGTTTACGCGCCCGACCGGGCCACCGACGGCCCCCACCGGCGCCGTCAAGGGTGACCTCAAGAAGGACATCCCTGCGGCAGAGACTGGCGCGGAGGTCTCCTTTGACGAGACCGGCGTCATCAAGATCGACCCGGCGCTCAAGCCGGCCACCAAGGTCGCCACGGCCGTCAAGCCGGCGGAGGCCGGCGGCGCGCCGCTGCCGTCGTTCATGGAGTTTCCGGAGCCCGCCCAGGCGGCGAGCGCCTTGCTTCTGCGCCGTGCGCCTGCCGACCCACTCCTTTACCTCACCCCGCTTTCATTGCGTAGGGCGACGACGGCTGGACCGTCTCGGCCAAGGAGTTTCCAAAGGAGAAGCCCGCCCCGGCGGCGAGCGCCGCATTCTGTGCCGTGCGTCTGCGCGGACCCACTGACTGACCCCATGCGCGTTCGATGCGTAGGGCGACTGGATTGTCTCGAACTCGCGCAACAAGACGGAGCGCAAGGGCGAGGTCAAGTCCACGAAGGTCTCCAACAAGTACGATCTGCTCGAGGACGTCGAGACGAACGTCAAGGCGGAGATCGACGAGGACGAGGACGAGAAGAAGGGAAAGGAGAAGGGCGCGGAGAAGGAGTCCTCGGTGCACGCACTCCCACACAGACGACACACACTGCCCCGCGCCTTTGCTTGACAGCGCGTCGCGCGCGCCGCAGTTCGAGTCGGTCTCGCCCGAGTCTGTCGGGTCGGGCGGCAACGAGGGCGGCATCGTCGGTGGCAACGACGGCACCGACACCGGCAAGGCGCCCTCCAAGATGACCCGCGGATCCACGCCGTCGACCACAAAATCGGTGCTCGCCGCCTGCACGTGCGGCTTCCGCCCCCTGCCTGCCGCTCACAGCCAGTCTAGCGCCCCTGTTCAGGTCGCGACGGTCAAGCCCAAGACGGTCAACCCCAAGACTGCCACGCCGGAGGGCTCCGTCTCCGCCTTCGGCTGGCTGTCGTGGCCCACGCTCTGCTGGCACAACGTGCTCTGCACCGTCTTCATCTGCCTCACTGCGGCAAGTGCGAGCGGCGGGGCTTGCGCCTACTTGTCGCACGGCTCTGACGGGCTTCTCCCTTCGTCGATCGCTTTGCCCGACGCGACGGCGCTCCCGACCGAGACTGAGCGCGGGCCGCTGTTTGCTCCGCATCTGGCGCCGTGTGGCGCCGGCTTCGTCCCGACGTGCGAGCAAGCGAAAGGCTTTGGCCTCTGCGACACCGCCAACGCGGCGTGCGACGAGGCGTGCGTCGAAGAAGTGATGATGGCCTGCCCCGTGACGTGCAGCCTCCCGGCGGAGGCGACGTCCGGCCACCTGGCCCCGGACGCCGCCCCTTCCGACTACGGCAAACACTTGCCACCGGCCGCAACGGAGGCCATCTGCAGCACCTGCGCAGCTCAACCCGACCTGCCCTGCTGCCACGACCACCCGCACGAGGACAATGGCCGCCGCCTGGCGCAATCGTGCACCGACGCAATCAATGACGCGCCCGCCCAGACACCCGACGTCCCGACTCTCGGGGCTGCCGTCGCCCAGACTCTCGGGGATGCCCTAGTGACGACGTGCATTGACGTCTTGAACTTGCCGGCGACAGACGCCAGTGGCAAAACTGCCTCCTGCGGAGCTCGGATCGTGTTTAAGCAGGAGCCGGCTGGGGGAGCCCTTTCTTTCGCTGCGGCGAAGCAGTTTGTCGCCGACGAGATCCCTAACCCGTGCGGCCCTTGCGGTGCCGTCGTGTGTACGGGAGACCGCATTTTGGCAGAGGCGCTTCAGCAGGGGTGTACTGAGGTGACGGGCGATTTGACTGACAACCTGCGTCAACCTGGCGCCAGGGGAGACGTCAACCTGCCCAACCTGGAGGGCGTGGACGGAAAAATCTGGGTGGGGGCTTTTCCCCCCCTCCCGCCCTTCCGCACTGCCTCCCCCCCCCCCCCCCGCACCGCCCTACACCGCACCGCTGCCCAGCCCCGCCCCTCGCCACCGCGACAGGTGGCGTACAACTACAACCTCGCCTCGCTGGCGATGAACAACCTGCGGTACGTGCGCGGAGGCATCGGGGTGCGCGCCTCTCCCCCTCTCCCGCCCCCTCCGCACTGCCTCCCCTCCCGCACACCACCCCACTGCCCAGCCCCGCGCCCCTCGCCACCGCGACAGGTGCAGGGCAGCAACCTCGCCTCGCTGACGATGGACAACCTGCGGCACGTGCGCGGAGACATCTTCGTGCGCGCCTCTCCCCCTCCTCCCGCCCCTCTGCACTGCCTCCCCTCCTCGCATCGCCCCTCCACCACACCGCTGCCCAGCCCCGCGCCCCTCGCCACCGCAACAGGTGGAGGGCAACCCCAACCTCACCTCGCTGACGATGAACAACCTGGAGGGCGTGGACCGAAAGCTGAAGATGAGCAATCCGGAGGACTATAAATACGAAAATGGAGCTATATACGTGCGCGCCTCTCCCCCTCCCCCGCCTCTCCGCACTAGCCCCTCCCATCCCGCACCCTCCCTGCACCACACCGCTGCCCAGCCCCGCGCCCCTCCCCACCGCGACAGGTGGTGAACAACCCCAAGCTCGCCTCGCTGGCGATGAACAACCTGGAGTACGTGGACGGAGGGATCTACGTGCGCGCCCCTCCCTCTCCCGCCCCCTCCGCGCTGCCTCCCCTGCTCGCACTTCCCCCCTCCCACCGCACCGCTGTCCAGCCCCGCGCCCCTCCCCACCGCGACAGGTGCAGAACAACCCCCTCGCCTCTCTGACGATGCCCAACCTGGAGCACGTGGGCAGAAACACCTGCTCCAGGTGCGCGCCTCACCTGCTCCGGGTGCGCGCCTCTCCCCCTCTCCCGCCCCCTCCGCGCACTGCCTCCCCTCCTCGCACCGCCCTACACCGCACCGCTGCCCAGCCCCGCGCCCCTCGCCACCGCGACAGGTGAGGGACAACAACAACCTCGCCTCTCTGAACTTGCCCAACCTGGAGCGCGTGGACGGATGGATCGAGGTGCGCGCCTCTCCCCCTCTCCCGCCCCCTCCGCATTGCCTCCCCTCCTCGCACCGCCCTCCACCTCACCGCTGTCCAGCCCCGCGCCCTCGCCACCGCGGCAGGTGTACGGCAACGACAACCTCGCCTCGCTGACGATGCCCAACTTGGTGAACGTGGGGTACGAATCCATCTCGGTGCGCGCCTCGCCCCCTCTCCCGCGCCCCCTTCGCTCTGCCTCCTCGCACCGCCCTGCACCGCACTGTGGGAAATGGCGTCCCATTGCAGCGGTGAAAGCGGGCTTGCCGGACCCTCTCCCCAGGTCACCCCCCCTCCCGCCACCTGCGACCTGGGGCCAGTCTACACGGACAAGTACGGCTACTGCTGATCGAGACGGCCACTGCCGGTGGGAGCCACCCCTCTGCTAGTCCCGCCCGCCGCCGGGCCAAATCTGCCCCTGCTAGCCCGCCGCTGCCCCAACTCTAGCCACCCCCCCCCTGCTCGGCCATGCCCCCCACACGCAAATAGCGAGGCGGGCTAGTTCGAGAGAGCGAGACGGCCGCGCGAGAACGGCAGTGGGCGGCCGAGACGAGACCCAGAACGAGACCTACAAGACGAAACCTATAACCCAAACACGAATCTACCGTAGTAACAAGTACGATGCCTTCTCCTCTCAGGGTTATTTGGATACGCCGATGTCCTCGTCAACAACAGTAGTCGACAACCAAGAGTTGGGGGCTCTCGCCGTGCTCGAGCGATCTGACTCGTGCTCTCTCGCTCGTGATGGTAGAGGCACTGTACACGTAGTCACGATGTCGATTACCTCCTCGCAAACACCGCGCACAGCACCAGCATGCTGCCCGCCAGGCAGCAGAGTGCTGCACCGGCGTGCAGCGGACGCTGCGGCGCTGCGGCGCCGCCTCCCCGCCCTGTCCACGGAGCAGGCGAGCGGCGGCACGGCCTTCCACCAGCTGCAGGAGGTGCGCACTTCCGAAAGGAAGCACCAGATGCACCTTCAGCACACGCAGCTTTGCGCAGCGCAGCGCACGGGCTACGCCACGCAAAGCCGACCCTCAGTCTGCCCAAGAGGCTGTCTGTGGAAGGCCTGGCAGCGCGTACTCGCCTCCTCCGCGGCCATGCCCTCCGCACGGGCGAGCGAGCAACGCGAGAGGGGACACAACCATTTCTGGAATTCTGGCCGCCGAACTTTTTTTTTGGTGCGCTCCCGCGCGTTCACCGGATTTGTCGCATGGCCGACTCGCGCTCCTGCTCGGGCGACGACAGCGAGGCAGAGCGTGAGGCTTTCTTCAGAGCGCTAGACGAGCACCAGGGCCGCCAACTCTGGAGCCGCGCCGACTCCGGGGCCGAGGAGGAGACGCCGTTCGGCGATCCCGCGGGCGGCGTCCGCGAGGCGACCCCATGGCCAGGCGAGGCGGACGGAGTGATCTACCGGCCGCACGGCTCGCTGCTGCAGTCATCGTTCGCCCCTCCCGACGGCCGCGCCTCCTTCTGCGAGCCGCTGCCGCAAGCGCCGGCGACGCCGCTGCCGACGCCGCCTCCGCGCCATGCTACGCCCTTGTCGCGGCAGTCGGCCGAGGCTGGCGGTTGGCTCACGCCGCGACTTCCGAGCGGCGCGCGCTCGCGCGCGGTCGGCGCGTCCGCCCTCCCCCACTCCCCGGGCTCGGACTCCGCAGCCCTCGAGCTGGAGCTGGCGCGGCCTCTCTCTCTCTCTCTCTCTCTCTCTGCTGCTCCGCCTGATTCTAGCCACCTCTCTCTCTCTCTCTCTCTCTCTCTCTCTCTCTCTCTCTCTCTCTCTCTCTCTCTCTCTCTCTCCCTCTCCCTCCCTCCCTCCCTCC